GTTTCCACCAGACACACAAACAGGAAGTAAACAAAGACCGCGTCTGTTTCCACCAGACACACAAACAGGAAGTAAACAAAGACCGCGTCTGTTTCCACCAGACACACAAACAGGAAGTAAACAAAGACCGCGTCCGTCAGACAACGAGACGCTTCAGAACGTTACTCGGAGCCAGACGATGAAAATAACAAGAAAATTTGTTGTTTTTATGGAATCAGTTTTTATTTTCTGCTTTAAGTTCGTTTACACTGAGCTGCAAGTTTATTTGATTTTGGCTAAATAATTGTTGTGTTTTTATTATGGTGGCCTAAAAAGGACAAAAAGAGAAAACGTCATGATTTATTCAAAATGAAAAATTCTTTAGAAGAGTTCTGGCTCAATGACTTCTCCATAAAAAACATTTTTATTAACTAAAAAGGTTCAAACAGTTTTAAAGTAACAGAAAACGGTTTCAGCTGAAACATCTGATTTTAACACTTTAAAACATTTATTTATTTAAAATGAACTTTACTGACAGTCAAATAAATAAATAATAGAAAAATCTCCACCGTTCTGAATCTGTAACAATTTATATTGTTTTTATGCAAAGCATAGATCAAACTAAAACAAATAATCTTATAAAACAACAGTTTAAAAGGATTATTTCTAGATGCAATAAACAATTTTTTTTTAAATTAAACGTCTGAACTTTTTATTTTAGTCACTCTAGTTTAAAGTTACAAATTTATTCCTGTGGTTTTGGTAAATTAGTCTTTTTATCATTTTGTCTTGAGAAGTTTTATTAGAACTAAAATATTTATTCATTTTCTTATTTCATGAAATTATATGCATAAGATAAATCAGTGATGTTTTATGCTTTAATAATTATAATAAACCGACAGATTCTTGTTAGTTTAGTTTAAAATTGACTTTATGTTTTGATCAGTTGAACTTTTTTTTTTGCCAGACTGAGATTTTAACATTTCAAAAACTTTATTTTTTGTTTTTTTTTATTTATTAAAATATTCTAAATACAACTAAATATTACGGTCTGCTTGTTTAATTTATGTTTTTTCTTTTGCACATTTATAAATTTTCGCTCTAAACCAAACAGTTTTAATTAGTTGGGCAGAACATCTTGATTGTTTTTTTTAATTGATCGTTTTTATTTACCTGCGAGTTTAATTTTTATTTCTCTTTTTGATGTTTCTGTCCCGACTTCATCTGCGTTCCTTCGTTAATCTAAACCTCGAGCAGCAGTTCAGTCAACGCCGGCCGTTTTCAGACTGAGCTGCAGAATCAAACGTTTTAAATCCGACACATTTCAAAGCCGAGCGTCGCTCCGGTCAGCGGAGCTGGACCCGGTCCCGGTCCTGGTCCCGGTCCTGGTCCTGGTCCTTGTCCTGGTCCTGGTCCCGGTCCTGGTCCCGGTCCTGGTCCCGCTGCGCTGCACCTGCTAAAGTCCACGTTGTGTTCACTTTTGGAGGCTTTTTACTGTTTGCACAGAAAATCAATCCGACGTTCAAACACGGCAGTGAGCTCATCTTTCTGATCAGATTCCTAATAAAATAATAATCTGCGTGAAGTTTGTCAACGTCAGAGGTTTAACTTTAATAACGAGAGAAGACGGCAGCGTCACATCTTCTGATGATTGTTTTATGTTGCGTGCGGCGTCTTGTCTTGTAGCACGGATAAAATGATTAATCATGTTTCTAAGACGAGCGCACACGTCCTCTGGTCTGCTGACTGTTTTTCTGCTCCTCCTTCAGGACCTGCTGTTGAACGACCAGGTGAAGGAGTTTGCCGCCAACGTGTACGAGGCTTTCAGCGCGCCGCAGGAGCTGCAGAAGTGACCTCCGTGATGAAGAGGAGGAAGAGGAGGACTGAAGAGAAGAAGGGATGAAACCAGAACTAAAGTCTGTGACGTGTCTGCAGCTCAGAGGATTCTGTCCCCTCAGCTCAAAGAAACAAACTCAGGGAAGAAGAACCCTCCACTGACTTCAGGCTACGACTGTTGCATCATGGGAACTGGAGTCCTACAACCCGCTCGATGTGGTTTTATTTCCCTGAGCGGTGGGACAAATGTAGAAACCTGCAGAGTGTGTGGTTAGGAAGCTGCCCCTCCTGTTTCCAGGTGATTTCTGCTTCTCAGATAGTTCAGCTTTCTAACGTTGGATCGTTTCCTCGTCACGTTTTATCTGCTCGTCATCGTCACAAGGTCAAAGAGGCAAGTTTACGTTTGCTTTTCTGTGGCGGTACAGAGGCGTAAGCTCAGCGATGTGAGCATCAGGTGCACGTTTTGTACCCTGGTCAGTGTTTTGATTACATCCGACTCCACAGAGGAATAAATCCAACACGTCATCTGAAGCTATCGAAGTAAAAACACAAAGGCACTAATAAAATAAACGTTAAACTCATTCAAACAAATGCACAGTTTAAGCTCTTTCTTATAAAACATCCTGACTTGAATCCATCAGTCCATGTTCCTGCAGGTTTTAGTTGCCCAGACGGTGTCACTCTTCTCTTGTTTGTGCTCCATCGTTTCCTCTGTGGTTTCAGTGCTTCCTCTTCCTGTCGTTTCCATCTCAGTGGTTTAGTTTCTGAACATGTTCAGAGTCGAGTATTGGTTCCTGAATGAGTCTCACGTCCTTCTTCTTTTATTTGTCCTGTGAAAGTTTGTGGACGCTGCAGCTCCGCTCTGCAGACCCAGACGTCCGGGACATCCCCCCAGTTTACCCTCAGCTCCGTCGCTGTAGGGGTGAAGCAGGAGGTAGATCAGCTGTGATCAGTTAAAGCTGCAGCTGAAATCAGCAGACGTCGGTTTATCTGACGGGTCTGAGCACGGTTAAAACAAGTCTACATGTCCTGGTTCTGGTTTTCCTCAAAGTCTCATTTGTTTATGAATTAAAAACTTCGGCTGCTGCACCAGAACTCGTTAGTTTTCAGATTAAATCAACAAGTTTAACTTAATTTAATTTCCTCGTGATGAAAATTAAACCGGTTGTTCCCTGCTGCAGTTCACATAAGGTTTTATTTTGGAGGACCATCCATCCATTATCTTGACCCGCTTCTTTTCGGGTCGTGGGGGGTCACTTGTATCCATATCCTGCAGCCATTGTGCAAGAAGCAGGGGACACCCTGGACATGTCTCCAGTCCATCGCAGGGACACACAGAGACAAACATTCACTCTCCCTCTCACCTAGGGACAATTTAGAGTTGCCAGTCAGCCTAACATGCGTGTTATGCAGCTCTACCAACTGAACCACCGTGCCACCCTTTGGAGGAACAATGACAAATAAACTACTGTTAAAAAGTAATTTAAACGTGAACCACATCATTCAAAAGGGTCTTAAAATTAATTTTTATAGCTAAGAATTATGTCAAGATGGTAATCTGGTAAATAAGAAAGTGCTGTGTGTTGTCGTATGTTGATGACATCATTGTATGTTGATGACATCATTGTATGTTTCTATTCAATTACTTCCTCATTTAACCCATCACACCTGAGATGCACCCAGGTGGAGCAGCGGGCAGCTTTGTGAGCACCCAGGGAGCAGTTGGGGATTGGGTGTCTTGCTCGAGCACACCGTGACATGTGGGCATGGCGGGGGCCCTGCCTCCACACCATCTCAACCCCATAGTGCAGAAACTTGTGGTTTTACTTTGAAAATAAAAATAAACACTTTCCAGATTTGTGTGTTTATTGTATTTTATATCCCAAAGGAAAAAAAAAAACGACTTTAGAGATTAAAAATTGAAACGAGTAGAGGATCTTTATCAAGGATTTTCAGAATTAAAGTTGGACAAACGTCTCATCTCTGGAGATTATTTTGATACCATTTAATTGATCTTTGTTTATATTTGTTTCTTTATTCATACTTTTTCTTTCTCTATTTACAGAATTTAACAAAAACGGTGACATACCCTGCCACACCACTAGGTGGCGAGAACGTCCATGTTCACGTTAAAATGCAGGAAAGGACCAATGACATGTGGAAGACGTGCAAACGCTCGTGAACGTTCTCAGGTTCCCGCCTATAACTTCTGATCTGCTCAAGATAATTTAACAGAACCTGAAACACGTCTGCATTATCAGTAGACGGAGTGTGGCGCAATCTTTCATCAGCCCAGCTCCAAGGTCAACGCCACAAATCAAGGTCAAATGGTGTGCAGGTCTTTGCTCGTGCTGTAGATCGCTGTATATTGTTGTCATCGATGGTCGAGATTTTAAGTTTAAAAACACCGTGACTGTAAACTCCAGTATGTCAGCGCCATAAATCTGATGTTATGGCTTCACTTTTGAACCATGTTCAGCCTTCATATATGTCTACATGTCCATTTGAACAGTTTTTAGTTTTGTTACATCATTTATTTTCATAAAACAACTGTGTGAACAGGAGCAGTTGGTTGGAGCTATGGTCACCTTGATGTGACCTCCATTTTCTCTCCAATGGCTCCCTGACAAATTCAGAGCAGAATTCAAAATCTTCTAACCTACAAAGCTCTCAACAACCTAGCTCCATCTTATATTACAGATCTTATTGTTCCATATTTTCCTAACAGAGCACTTTGTTCTCAGGCTGCAGGTTTACTTGTGGTTCCTAGAGTTTCCAAAAGCAGAATGGGAGGAAGATCCTTCAGTTCTCAGGCTCCTCTCTTGTGGAACCAACTTCCAGTTTCTGTTCATGAGGCTGACACATTGTCCACTTTTAAGACTGGGTTTAAGACTTTCTTTTTTGATAAATCCTATAGTTTAGTTGGCTTGGGTTTCCTGAGCTATCCCTTAGTTTTGCTACTGTAGGCTTAGACTGCTGGAGGACAAACTGAGCACATTTCCACTCTCTGCTGTCTTTACTTGCTCTACCTGTTTGTAATTATTTATATCTTAACATGTTTTTTGTCTTTCCTCATAAAGAAAGTACACCTGGACTATAGAAACCACACCTGGACTATAGAAAGTACACCTGGACTATAGAAAGTACACCTGGACTATAGAAACCACACCTGGACTATAGAAAGTACACCTGGACTATAGAAAGTACACCTGGACTATAGAAAGTACACATGGACTA